GAGAGCAAGGACCAGCCTGAATAAATTTGGTATCTGTTTGCATCTACTGAATGTGGCTATATGCAAATCCACATTATAATGAACTTATGAAAATGCATTTTTTTGCTCACATAAATATACTGCTAAACAGCTATGGCATTATATCTAGATCCAAATTTCAGAGTCTATGCACATATTGCTAAATGTCAAATGTATTCATATTCATTTATATTTGAATGCTGCTTTGAGTAGGAAACTATAAATCATCCATTCAAAAATAAAAATAAAAATAAAAATAAAATAGATATGCAGCATTATTTAGCACCACAGATGAACCTTATTTATTTTACAGTTAAGTAGTGAAGTGAATAAGCATTTTCAAACAGAAGCTCTGACTGGAAACCTACAACCAAACTGCAAAACCCTCAAGTTTCCTCCAAATATCTCAATTTTCCTCATAATCTCAGTTGTTATTATACCTTTATTGCAAGTGAGAAATTCTCTTATTTTCAATGAAAAACATCTATGTCACTTACTATCTTTTTCTTTACTAGTTTATCATTACATAATACAACTTTTGAAATCTCTGGAAATATTTTATCTATATTCATGCCAATTATTCTGCATTAATTTTTTTTTACAAATGCTTTATAAATAGATAAGTAAGATACTGAATGACCCTAATTAGATTTGTTTAATTCACCTTACTGGCCCAATTACTTGCCAGTAGTCAAAGCTATATAAATTTCCTTTCCTCCTCATCAGCCTCTCCTTTGATTCTTCCATTACTGTGAGCTGCTTAATGGTGGAATATGCCTACAAGTCTACAACTTCTTTCTTCTCTCTTTTCTCTTCCTTTACTGACCTCAACTAATCTCACAACTCTAAATACCATCCATTCCTAACAACATCCAAATGTACCTCTCTAGCTGGATCCTGCCCCCAACCCATGGGTTTTACATATAATCCCTACTTAAAGTCTCCATCTGGGTTTCTGGTAGGCACATCAATTTTATACATCCAAATCTCCATGTTTATCACCATACAACAATATACTAAAGATTTTAGTTAATTATTTATTCTGTTTGGATTTTGTTCCAAAATCCAAAAGGATCTACTTTCTTGAAAACTGTTACCCAAGGCTAGAACGGTGATTCTTACACTAGGCATTCAAAATATGTTCAAAAATTTTTGTTAAAAACTTCTACATTAAATGTCATATTATGATGACATGAAGTTGCATCTCCAAATTTTTTCTTCCTTTCTTATTCTATAGTTCAGTTTAGAGCAGCCACTATTTGCCATCTTCCTAGCTAGAAATGTCAGTCACTAGTGCTGCCTCTCATTCTCTAAGAGTCAGAAGTTGATATTTTCCACCTACTCCTCTCTCAGACTTATCTCACATGTACCCTGTTCTCCATACACCATTTTTTTTGCCCCAATTTAACATGCTTTCTGAGCTTCTACTACTTTTAATAATATCCATTCTCCTAAAATATCTTCTCCCCTCTTCAATTAACAATTCTTAATCATCTTACAAGACTCATCTAAATACCAGTTTTATATAGTCATCAAAATACAGCAGATAACAACTACTGAGTGCTTATTATAATTCAAGCAATTTACTTGCATTCTATCACATAATCCTTAAAAAAGCTTATTACAAAGGAACTGATAACTTGCCCAAATGGTACATGATAATAAAAAAAGGCTAAAAGAAGTAAGGAAACTTTTCTTGGGTCACAGAGTTAATAAGTAGATAATCCAAGACCAATCCTAGGTCCATCTAAATCTAAAGCCTAAATAAAACTATAAATAGCTGAACTGACCTTCAAATAAGTATTTTAAATGTCTTGACTGAGTATAGGTCATTTGGAAATCATTAATTTTATGTTATGAGATAAGAAATATAAACCACAAACTGTAAGAAGCAGATACTTCTAGCCAGGTAAAGAATCAAGGAACTCATTACTGAACATTATTTTTGTAAAAGAACACGTAACATCTGTGGTCAGATTTGTGTGATGAGTAAAAGTAACCATAATACCATTATTGCTCATTTATGGAATATGCAGAGTTGCAGGCAAGAAAAAAGACCAGAGCCTTGTATTTGCATACTATGAAGCCCACATAAAGGTCACCTGAAACATCCAACATAACCTCTGGAATGTTATGTCACTACTATCATTCTACCCAATAATTATAGCCTTCCTAATCTTTGTCCCTCTGGGTAGAGCTTCATTTCACTTTTCCATTCGGACTTGCTTTACTGGCTTTGCACACAGCATCAGACCTGAAGGTTACACTGATGGAGCCTCTGAAGGCAGCCCTGGCAGGTCTCCATAGAAATGGCCTCAGGGTTGTCTCCAAAGTGGTCCTGTCTGAGTTGCCATGGTAAACAACCAAGCAGATTGCTATATTCAGTTCTCTGCCAGGGTCGCCATGGTGACTGCAAAGGACTGCTCCTTAGAAGGACCTCACAAGGGCGGGTTTCCATGGTGACCCTATCCTGCATATTTCTAAGCAACTTCCCTTTGGTTGTTCTGCGACCATTCATGGCAGGTTCATTTTTAGATTAACTCTGGAAGGTTTCTCCCAAAGAAACCATCATATCACAGAGGGATTTGGAAGTGAGGAGGCTTGTAAACAAATTAACTATTTGAAAATGTAAATGGTGACATTCACAAATCATGAAATCAGTCTCTGTATGTTTTAGGAAGGATCTGTTTTGATGGGTAACAAAAAGTAATTGTAATGATTCTGTTAAATGTGTCTGCTTCAAATCCTTAATGAATCAAAAGTATCTTATAGAATATAAAGCAGAGAATCAAGTTTCAAACTTCCATTCTTACACAATTTAGCAGCTACATATTGAACACCTCTACCTTAACTGTCATGTTATCATGACAATAGCTATTAAGATATTAAATACAGTGGACATAACAGGCACACACAAAGTAATACAGAGTTATCAGTAGGCTATAATGAGACACCAAGGAAAATTTATATAGCAAAAAAAAAAAAACCTCTTTGCAAGTCAAATGAAAAAAAAAATACATGTATTTGTTTTGTTTTGTTTTAATTGAGTGGGGGAATCCTATCTACACGTGGACCTAAGCTATTTTTCCTGTGCTTTTCTTGTTGGAATAATCCCAACTTATTTTCCTTTCATTTAAAAACTATGAACACAAGCCATTTTGAATAGGTGATTGGTTTTTAAATCATGTTATTATTTTTCTGAAATTTTACAATACTTTCCCTAGTATTTAGTTAGTAGGAAATTTTTATTTAAACACTGATTTCAAATTCTTTAAGATTTTTAACAAATAAAAAAAAATCTAAAAAGTTTAAGACATTCATTTTCCTTCTAGCTGATTAAATTAAAAAAACGCCATATACTAATATAAGTTTCCTCTTGGATAAAAAAAGTTAATCACTATTAAGATCCCTCTTTTCTCATCTTAAGGTAAAATAAATGTGATTTTTTTTCCTCAAGTACTACTTCCTCCAGTGGTCGGTTATCTGCTTCTCTCTGTCACAGATTCCTCTGTCTCACTCTGTCTATAGCTGCCCACCATTCCCCACTCAACATTCCACTCAGCAGAATAGAATCTCACTTTAGAAAACATAAGCAAGAAACAAGAATATAATTCATAGTCATATTTTAGTGAAGTCTCAATGCTTTGCACAAAGCTGGTTTTGCCGAAACATCCTACTTCAAGCCTTCGGTATGTTCTCCTGCACCACAGGAGTCACTGCAATTTTCATTTCTTCACTAAGGGCCTAGCAAGTGATCACTACATGTCAGGCAGTGATCTAGGAGCAGGGAACACTTCAATGAACAAATCAATGATTGCTCTGCTAAGGTGTTTAGATCAGAGAGAGAAAGAGAAATGTAAAGAAAATCAATGAGGAAATCATTTATTATAAAGTGATTAAAGTTACGGGGAAAATTAAGGCAGGAAGGATGAAAATCTCTGAGCAGGTCAGGGTGACAGAGGCTACAATAATACAGGTGAATGAAGGGGTGTAGGGTTTAAGGACTCCCCACTCACCTAATGTAAGCATACGTAATGCTAACCTAAATCCTTAAGAAAAATGTAAAAAGCATCCTTCAGAGAGCTAACAGAAGTTAAGTAGACTGACAGATAACTCTTGCACCTCTACACTTGCTATATAAGAAGCAGCAGGGTCTGAGGCAGCCAAGAGACACCAACACCTCCAGTCCTACACATATGTCTCAAGGGTGATGTGGAGTTTGGCAAATTTCTCCACTCCCCATGTCTCTTCCTCAACTTCAAATTGAAAATCAAATCCAATCTGATAGTGTTACTCTGAAAAATATGCACAAATAGTAAGACATAAACATTAAATGCTGTGGGTAAAACAAAGTTATGTTTGGAGTTTGCTTTAAAATACTTCAGTAAAAAATAAATAAAATAAAATAAAAATGGGAAAAGAACATATGAAAAGTTGGGTAAAACACTGAGAATTAATGATGCTCTGTGATGGATATGAGAACTCATTATATTATTCAATCTCATTTTATATTTGAAAAAACATCCAAATCAAAGAATTTTGGGGAAGAGATTAAATTTGAAAAAAAAGCTTCCTTTGTAAAGATTTTTATAATAACTAGAAAAAAGTATATAGCAACATTAACTTGATTTGAATAACAACCTTTATAAAACAAAAAGGGAAATGCGAATTTATTTACTGAATACCTCCTAACCTAGAATAAAGATGGGTACTTTTCACCCCTTCTTCTAACACATAATGTCTTTCTTAAAACATTAACTTCATACTTCCTCCAGAGTATGAGTCAAAATTAGTCAGAAAGGCAGAAAAGCATCCTTGTTAAGCTTGATTACTCACAGGTACTTACTGTATAACAATGTTGAAAGAAATTTTAGTACATTTGTTGAATACTTAGAAACAATCATGTAATGAAGTCATACATCACAAATAAAAATTTAGACAATGAATTCCATATGAGTATATCAAGAAATTTAAAAACATACCAGATCAGGATCTCCCTTTTTATAGGTCAAAGCTTCAACTTTGGAATCGAGTTCTGCTTGTATTTGGTCTCTTCTCTTCATAACACCCTTCATATTGAAACATAAGGACACAAATAACTTGTACTTGACTTTAATAATCTTTTTACAACAATAGTATACAATTCAGAAAATAAGTAGCCCTCAGGAATTTATTCCCCATGCCAACATTCATTTGAGGATATAATACATTTAAAAATTGTTTTCTTTAATGTTTAAAGTCTCAAGTACAAGCAAATATTTAAGAAAATTATTTTATTATAATTCTTTTATTAGTTTTCCCAATATACAATCTACAAATTTAAATATGATATGTATGTCTAACATTTGATGGAGAACTCTTCAAAAAGAGCAAATATAAAAAAACATTAGTGGATATACCAAGTATAGCTGGGAGTCACATGGACCATTCACCTGGAAATACTTAGAACCAATGGAAGCCTCTTTTCTGACCCCAAAGGGGCAGTTAACAAGACAGAAAATCACAGTGGGAATCAGAAAACTGAAGGGTACATTCCTATCTTAAGCATTTCATTGTAGCTCAAAGTGTATAAATATTCACTCATTAAGAAAACTTCTGATGAGAAACCATAGCCTCTATGTTGATAGGTCGGTCCATCTTGTCTTCTTGAAACACAATTCCATGTTTCAGTATTTTTACTTAAGTGTTTAAGAGACCATTAATGTCAAGAAACTCTTTCCTTTCTGTAATCAAAATGACCTACACTGTAACTTAATTCGGTATATTTAAAGTCTGTTTCTATGCAGTACTGGGCTTCCTATATACAGATATGTTGTAAGATGTTACTTCATAAGAGAACTAGTGAAAAAATATTAATAACTTTAATCATTTTATCAAGGCATTACTATTCATTATGTAAGCTCAGAGTTAAAGAAACATTTCAACATAAAACAGAATCAGAAATGCAAAATAAATGATACTGATTACATCATTGTTGTCTATACTATGATTCAACTAATTGAGGACCTATGCAATAACTCTTTCTAGTTACTATTATGATTTTGTACACTTTTAATAAAATAAGATTTCACTTGCACAATTCCCGTCTTGACATAGTATAGGAGAGGAAGACTAATTAAGGGAAGTGAATATACAAATCAGTTCTCTCTTCAGAGCCACAAAAGGAATGATCAATAATGAAGTAAAAACAGATGTGGCCAAGAAAATTGACTCAGAGAAGCAGGAGACTCCTCAGCAGGGAAGAATCAGAGGCCTTTGGGAAGCCAGGTTTGTTTATAGAAAGAGCCCAGTAAAGTCAGATAACAGCAGAAGCCTGGAATGCCCATGCAATAGCTAATCACTCTCTCAAAGGAAGCCTAAATATGATAACAGGGAAAAGCAATTTCATGCTGAAAGGCTAAAATACCTTCTCTGATCAAGACAGAGTCAAAGCTAAAAGTCCTAGCAAAGCTAAGAGTCCTACCAGTCAAAGGTACACAACACCAGAAACCAGACATGGTTCCAATAATAAATGGCAGAAGGGACCATATCTGAATATAAGAGGACTCCTTCCTCTACCATCACCCTAAAAGTCAGAGACCAGACAGTGCCAGCTTGACTGCCAAGTACCTTAGGCACAGTATAATACTAGATGAAAAAACATAGCTTCGCACAGAACACTTAAATTCCAAATATCTAGTAAAATTAACTTGAATCAAGGAGGTAAAATGCAAAACTTAGATATAATAGGAATAAAATCTTTTACAAATAGTAGAAGAAAACCATTTTAACTTGAAGGATTTTTTTAGAAGCAACCAGAGGCAGTAAAAAACATCAAGATCCTATTCACGTACTTTCTATAGAATAGTGCTGAATCATGTTAAAATGAATGTAACCAACTCTCATGAAAAGAAATCCCCAAAACACTGAAAAATTTTTAAAGTAAAATTTTAAAAAGGTTAGGAAAAAAAATCATTTTTCTTAGTGAATCTTAGTTGGAGATGTTTTGAATTTCTTAATCTTCTAAATGGCTAGTGTTGCTATTGAGTAGTCCTGTCTTCAAAAAGTTCTTCCATTCATCTATTCATGTTCACAGGGAACAGATACTTATTAGCAGAATCTACATGCAAGACAGGAAAAAAAAAGTAGTGAAGAACAGAAACAGAAATTGCCATATAGAGAGCTTAGAATCAGGTAAGGGACTGTGGTGAAACTATAATTAGGTGTTCTTACCATTAACATTTCACTATAAAGCACATATTCATGTACGACAGGAAGCAAGACCTCAGAAAGTCCAGACATGCGCTTTTCAGTGGCTTTGCAACATTTGTCAATGCAGCTGGCAACACCTCTCAAAGTATCAACCAGATCTTCTTCTGAAGCCGACCACAGAATATGAATGGGGCCATATTCTTTCATTTCATCAAAATAGTCTAAAAAATAACATAATTCTTGAATTTACATTTTCAAAGTCTCTATATCAGAAATAGTGTGGAAGGACTTGATTTCCTTCATTGTCCACATGTTCTGACATATGAATATAAAAGGGATATTGTCTTTCACTGAATTGACCAACCATCCCAGTATGCCCATGTTGGTTTCTGAAAGACTACTAAGTATAGTCAATATCAGCATCTTTTTTACCGTCAAAAGTGTCCTGCTTAGAAAATAAATTATATGATCCTCATATATGCTTTTCATGAACTTTGCCTACCAACCACCACATCTGAGTGCCTCATAAGCAACAGGTTCTAAACAAAACTTGTCTTGAAGTTCTCTATATTGAATCATCTTACTTCTCATCATAATTCACTGAAATCTATTATATTGGTCAAAATTAGACTACTGGGACTTCAAAAGTTTGTATAATCAAGTAAAATTAAGAAAGTTAAATTTTAAAATAATGGAACTGCTAGTTGTTACCTAATGAAAATATATAAGAATTAATGTCCTCTAAAAATTTTCCTCATCCTGCTCTCCTGAGTTTAGGGCTATCTTTATGTTAGTGACCCCACTAAACTAGTACTTCTAGAAAATTTTCTGCATTTCTTTTCCCAATTTGTGTCTATGTCAATGTGTGTCATTAAATGGGTAAATATTTCTCTACACAGAGCTTCCATAAAATTGCATAGCACTCAAATCACATCTATATGCAAACATTTAATGAGCTGCACTGTAATACGCTGTCAATACATCCATTTCCCAACTATAATATCAGCTCAAGGATACATAACATCTTAATTCCTCCTTTAATCTCCAGCACAGAAAAGCAATACAGCATATGGTCAATATGATTCAGCTTTCAGCTGAATAAAGAGGGAAACACAAATACATCAAAAGAAAACATTGAGTACAAAAAAAAAAAAAGCTCAAAGAGAAACCACGAGTTATGGTTACCAAATTCTTGATAATATCAGTGTGAATGAATCACCCTACAGATTAGATGCCCAAATCTTCAAAAGAAAGTGTTTCATTATTGGGCATGGAACCTTTATGAGTAGGCTTCACATTCCAAAGACCAATAAACTCCTCAAGTTTGGGACTGTAACACTCCTAAAAAAGGGAGTTCAGATTTATAAATCTATCAAAATCTAACTTTCTCTCTAACATTTCAAAAACACTGGAGTCCTATCATCAAAGATTCTAAAACTATTTCCTGGCACTAGCAAATACAAAATATATTGATATCCCATAAAGCTCTTAACTGTCAATAAGTTTCCTGAGATTTCTTTGAATTGCTATTCAATCTAACTGTGCATCCAGCATCTGCTTAACTGAATTGGAATCACAGAGCCTAGTTAAAATAATTATTAGCTTTTTGAGATTTAAAAAAAATGGCAAATAGGAAAAACAAGAACAAACCAATGGATTTTTATTAACATGCATTCAGTCACCACAACAATCTCATCAAGTGTCAGTACATCGAAAGAACAAAGGGCAAAGTACATTTAGCTATATAAGAACTTTTTCTGTATTTCTTTTAACAGCCAATCAAATCATCTTCTCCTGCCAGTATTATGGATTGAATCCAAGGGCACTTTACCACTAAGTTTCATCTATAGGCCTTTTATTATTTTTTTTTTTATTTTGAGACACTACTGCTAAGCTGCTGAGGCTGGCCTTGAACTTGCTATCCTCCTTTCTCAGTCTTCGAAGCTGCTGAGATTACAGGCTTACACTATTGTGCCCGGTTTCGCCAACCAATTTTGGATAAAGCAAATTTTCCGGCCACTATTCCAATCCTATACTCAGTCATTTATTTTCAAACACTGAGAAAATTTTAATTAACTGAGCATGCACTTTTGTGCTGGGTACTACCTAGACATTAGATACTAAAAAATAAATATTTTCCCTGCTTATCCTAATAGATATAAAAACTTAATGATAGACACAGACAATTAATAAATAATCCTTCAATATAAGGACTTTTGTTTATCTGTAAGCTGTTTGTCATCTCTAAAAATCAACTTAATATTAGGAAGTAAGTTTGCTGGGTTGGTCATTTATTTTTAATGTAGATAAATTCAGTTAGAAAATAGAAAAAATCATTCTGAATTACAGAAGATCATCATATATTCAAGCCTAATTTATAAAATAAAAAAGTAGAAAATAGGAAAAGAAACAGTGATAGAAAAAAAGGAAAAAAAAAGACCTATTTTCCATTATATAACTCTTTAAAAGATACTTAGATAGGCCTAATATATAATATTAATAACCATCATCAAAAAAGTAACTAAGTGTGGGGCTGGGGATGTGGCTCAAGCAGTAGTGCGCTTGCCTGGCATGCATGCGCGGCACTCAGTTCGATCCTCAGCACCACATACAAATAAAGATGTTATGTCCGCCGAAAACTAAAAAATAAATATTAAAAAATTCTCTCTCTCTCTCAAAAAAGTAACTAAGTGTGAACATACTTTATATACAGAGATATGAAAAATTGTGTTCTATATGTGTCATAAGAATTGTGATGCATTCCACTATCATATATTTAAAAAACAAAAGTAATTAAAAATAAAAGTAACTAAAAAATATAAGGGAACTAAAAACACCTATTATTTGAAACATCACTTCTTTGATTTTAAGGTATGGTCCATGATGAATATTTGGTGCCAACTTCAGACAACCACACCCAAAATCTTAAGCTTAGTGCTCATTTTACCACTATTATGTATAAGTGGGAATGGAATGGCCAGTGATTGATAAAGCAAATGGGGACTTGCCATGAGTACCTCCAAAATCACTTAGGAACTAGAACTTTCCCTACATTGCTGTGCATAAGCCACACTTTGAAGGTTGACAACAATATCTAATCTAATAATATTGTCCTACGTCATCAGCAAATGTGAAGATCCAAAAGAAAGTAAACAACTTTGAAGTCACAATGCAGTGATTCTACATACCCCTTTCTTCCTTGTAAATCCTCTGAGATATTTTATCTATTAAATTAATTTTCTGACTAAATATTTCAATAAAGTTATTCATTTCCATGAATTCCTCTGGGCGGTTTTTGA